ACTATAAAATGACCAGGGCATCGGTTGGATGGCCAGTGTCGTTTCTGGACATCTCTGAGGACATTTGACTTACCATTCGACATCATCATGAAAGTTGCAGTCGCTCTATTGGCCTTGGCCACGGTGGCGTCGGCCACAGTGGTCACAAAACCTGTTGCCCCCACCAAGCCAAAGGTGTCAACCAGTGTCAAGCCATTTGTCACCTACAAGAAGGCTGTTGTCACCAAGAAGGTTCCGACTGTCAACTACAAGCAGGTGGTAAGGTACGTCCCCAGGGTGGACGTCGTCCCAGTTCACGGTCACAGGCTCGTTCAGAACACCGTCAATGTCCCTGTCAGAGGATACCACCTTCAACAGACCGTTATTGGCGCTGGTCCATACGGCGGTTATGGCGGTGGCTACGGCACTGGGTATGGTGGTGTTGGCGGCGGTTACGGCGGCGGCTACGGCGGTTACGGCGGCGGCTACGGCAGCGGCTATGGCGGCGGCTACAGCGGACTCGGCGGTTATGGCGGTGGATACGGCACTGGCTACGGCGGATACGGTTTCGGCAACGGTTTCGACTTCATGAGAGGTTTCATCGGCAACAGAGTGGGCTTTGGTTTGGGACCTGCCGGATACGGTGCCGGTCTGGGAGCTGGTTACGGTACCCTTGGTGCTGGTTACGGCGCTGCCGGTTACGGTGGTGTCGGTTACGGTGTTGGCGGCGTTAAAGACCTCGGCGTCGGCTACGGCGCCACAGGAGGCTACGTCGACGGTGGCTACGGCACATCTGGTGTTATCAACGGTGGATACGTCGATGGCGGATATGGCACCGCTGGCGTTGTGAAGAACGCCGGTGGCTACGGCACAGTTGGAGTGGTTGACGGCGGATATGGAGGTGTTGTTAATGGCGGTTATGGCTCTGTCGGCACCCTTGGTACTGTTGGCACTGCCAAGAAGGTTTAAATAAGGTAGGTTTCCTTTATTAGGTGCTCCGTGCTTTGTTTAGACCAAACTTTACCTCTGTGACTACGATATGTCTGAAATCCGTTAAGTCACTTTTCCCTTTCGACCACATTACAATGTTTAAAAATGCAAACCAGCATTGTTTGAAACATCATGCATCAGCATAAAAAATTGTCTGGTTATATTCTGCACAGGATGGATTTGCGATCTGCATTTAAAAGAATAATCCTGATAATAATTTGACATATTAAGTTGGCGTTTGCAAAATCTCTGAACCAATATACTGAAACAACGTTGCTTGCAATGATTTAAAGCATAAACAAAAAGGGCAAATCAACATCAGTTGCATTGCTGACGGGCTTTTCTTTCTTACAAAGCAATAAAAATCGTATTTTACGAAACAGTAAAATCAAGATTTTAACTTCAATTTAATCATATAATTTTATCACTGGTGCACATAGTGGTTTATACGCAGAGATAAAAATGCTAAACGGACATTTGAAAGCCAAATGCAGACCACCGACGCGTATCTTTTTCACACGCTATATCGGTTTGTTAATTGGGTATAGAATCACGTGGCGTGAAATAATTAGGCAAATAGGCTAGAGTACTCCTTCCTCAATTACATATACAATTTGGCAGTGCCTAGATGGTAGAAAAATGCGCGATGAACCCTGAATTATTTTGCAATTAAGGAAAGCGTGTATGTTCAACACTTAGAAAATGCATTTATTTATTTATTTATTTATTTATTTATTTATTTATTTATTAAAGGTTTCAAGTGAGCTAAAGATTTTAACACTTTTACAAAATAGAAGAATCGTCCATTTTACGTTTGTATAATGCGTATTTGAATAATGCGTGCAACTGACTTCAACTTTTGGTAATGCTTGTCTTGCTTGTTTTTATTTCAGCTTTCACTGTTTGTCTTCAACCAGAGAATTGCACAAAAGGTATCGCTTTAATCCCAACTGGAGGAAAAATAGCATCTTATGAATATGATGCTGTCATTGATATCATCATCCATTTGTGGACACCGCATAAGCTTTAAATAACGTACATAGACGTGAACAAGAGACTGGAAAACAGAAAAAGACCAACTAAGTGTTGACACGAAAATTTGACATTTTCGCATTTTATATGAGGTCCTAGCGACTAAGAAAAAAGTATCATTTGTACGTTTTGTAACCACCAAATGCTAACACAATACCATGGGCATGTAACCAATGCTTTTGATGAAATAAACAGATATCATTTGTTTTCAATGCAGTGTTTTTTTCTTGATGTTTGTTCCGCTGATAATTAAAAGGAACTGCTGCTTAATGTATTGAAAAAAATTCTTCCCGAAAACCATACATTTTAATGCATACTAAATTCTTACACATATCAATTACGTGTAGAGCATCATACGCATGTGACTTTCTTCAAATTACTCTCCTTCCCATTTTTTAAACTGCTCAATATATTGTTCAAATTCAAAAATAGAATGCGTTAAAGGTAATAGCGCAAAGTTTTCAACTCTAGATTAATTTCTTACTTCGCTGGGGGGAGGGGGGGGGTGGGGAGGGGGAGGGGAGGAGAGGGAGGGCCAGATTGTCAAAAAGGGCTGCCACAAAATCCCCCAACGGCGAAATGATGAAACCGGGTGCAGTTTGGGCATTTTGAAAATATATCTGGATTTTAGATCAACCTTGTCTAACTTTTTTGTGGAGGGACTGGGGTTTAATCCGCAATATTCTTCTGGAACAGGAGTGTGGAAATGTGACAGGCTTGGGGCAAGAAAGTCAATTTTGTAATGTTTTAACACGCTTGGTTGACTTGAAATAAATTCTTCTCCCAACGATGACATATTCAAGAAACTTGCTTTATTCATGGGCCTTACCGAAAACCTATAATCCTCGAAAATTAGCAGGCGAAATACAAGATAGATAAAACTGAGATGATAAAATACTTCCTTCTAAATCAGCGCATTATTGCTGCTCGCTCAACAGAAGAACGGTATCTCTCAGTTGGTCATTATTCAAATTATTTGACAGTTTTTCAAATTGTACATATTCAGAAAAAAGACTGAATACTATAACCTGTAAACAACCCTTTGTTAAGAGGAGAGTCGGATATTTGAAGGATGGGGCATGCGCATCATATCACCACTGCATAAACCAATAACTAATAAATTAAGCTGAACAGAAAACATCACTGTAAATAAGAACAACCGACATTATTTGAAGCCCAAGGGGTAAATTAGATATGGATATCAGTTTGTACTGTAATTCCTCTAGAAATAGCTTAACTCATGCTTTATTCATAAAAAATAAAAAATTCCGCAAGTAATTTACTTTGTTTCTACATGAAGTAATCAAGTTCCACTGGCTTGGCTTTGAGTGTGTTAGCGGTGCTCTGCACAATCAACGGACTACTCAGAATGTAATATTATTTCCCGTCTTCTCTGATACAACCCATAACAAATTGGCTAAACTCATCTACGAACAAACAAAACATAGTAGTGACCAAGGAATCCCCCTTCATTTAACGTTTTAACTAGCAAAGAACGCCGCGCATCTGCAAAACCCTGCAATTTTATATTCACAAAAATCTGCATGAAATACATCAAGATCTAAGTGGCAGCTGTAATACTGCAGTCCAATTGGGTTAAGGGGTTTGCATGTACGAATATCAGGGGCGGATCCAGGGATATTTTCAGACAGTCTTCCAAATTATCTTTGTTGAACCATCCTCCATTTTTGACCGTCTTCCGATAGAGAAAAATTAGATACCCATCAATGTAAATTTGAAAATCTGACCGTCTTCTGGAAGACTCAAAAGACGGCCTCAATCCGCCCCTGAATATAATACAGTAGGGTACAACAAATCTGTTTAAAATCAAGACTGTTGGCAGTTTGCCAAACAGGTCAAGCCGCATCCATCATCGTTTTCACTACAGACGTTATATATATGCGTATATATCTCGTTCACCGACATGATCCAGCTATTTAATTGTAATCGTACCGTGAAACAAAAGTACTTGAAGTTAAAACGGTACTGGACGCGGTCACAAGTTAACATGGAGGACCAACCAAGCTTGCCCCAATTTAGGTCTATTTTAATAATTAAAATTAAAATTGTCACATGTCTCGGCATAATCTGGTAGATGTCAACGGTCTCTTTCCGTACTTATCAAACACAGTCAGCACTGCTCTGCCTTGATGTGGTATTATTTATTTATTTATTTATTTATTTACAGCATAAAGCCCCCAGATAAAGGCGCTTTGGTCCTCATTAGTTTTGTTTTAACCATTACTTCCTGGTGGCAGACCCCAAGCTTAGTATTCCCCCAGTATTTCCTTGAGTATAGTGACACGCACAATAAGTGACCATAGTGAAATTAAATAGAGAAAAGTGTGTGTGTTTGGGGGAGGGGGGTCATTTTAGCACCTAGTTCCATGAGTAAAGACGAAAAGGTTTTTTGTTAAAAAGTTTCAGTCGATGTTTTTTAACCTGAATATTAAGTGCCCTCTCCCGAAAGTGGTTCATTTTAAAGCCTTGACTCACACGCCGCCATATCAACTGCTTCATTTCCGACTCCAATCAAAACCTTTGTAATGGGAAATTAAAATATGGAAAATGAGATCCTGTTGACACGATGTCATATACTAGAGAGTCTATTGTGATACACGGTCCTGCTCCCATTGATATGTGCTGGTAATGGCCCCGCCCTAGATTTTGGATCCACTGACGTCACGCTAACCCTAACCTGCCTGAATCTAATGGAGGGCGGACTCTCTGCTACACGGAACATAAATTTCTTAATTTCAACGCGGACGTTCCGGTCAAACCTGAATCTGTGAATATCTATCTCTGTTACACGGACCCCCAGCTTCTTAACACCGACAGCTGCTAAAATTCACAATTCAAAGACTAGCAACTTCAGCCGATCCTGTTTTGACCTAGGGCTATTTCTCATAGAAGTGTGGGCTACAGCCGAGATATATCGCATGGAAGCGCGGATTACAGAATAAGCATTTGTGCAGTGAACTTGAGTGAAAATTTTGGTGGCGGTTGACGCTTTTAAGTACCTGTAAGCGTGCGTGGAAATAAAGCCGGCACGCATCGAATCTGAAGCTCAATTTGATGGAGGTACTACGCGTAAGAAGTTTTATCGTATACGGACAAAGAAAAAAAAATAAAATAAATCAGAAAACACAATTTTACTAACCAAAAAGGAAATCCTTGTAGCACAAACTTAAATTATTTCCTGCAACAATGATACATGTATTCTTGAGTTATTTTCTTGTGCATGTTATCTTGTAGGCCAAATCTTTTCAGTCAGCTGTTTATTTCCCAATCACACTCTCCCCACTGAAGCAGTCCTTGGTCTCGTCGTCGACTTTGACGTGTAGAGGCTTGCAACCGTCAGCACCGGTGACAATCTTACAGCCGGCAGCAGGCATTATCACCCCAGCATGTATACCATAGCTAGGAGAAAAAATAAAACTAGACGATGAACAAGACTCAGTGTTGTCCTAAGTATTTTCTGTTGATGTTACCCCAGGTATAACACTCTCTGGGCCCATGCTTGGCCTGAACGTTTAACAGTTTGCATTATAGGGCCATTCAGAATGAGTTAGCCATAGATCCTTTACTTGTACAATAATTTGAATCACAAATGTGCTACATATTATAAAATAAAATCAAAGAGACGGCTTGTCCTTCATGAATACCCCGCATTTACGTTTGAATTATGAAATAATTGCCCATTTCCAAAGCCTCATTTGACGAGAAGAAAGTAGGTATACACATGACAATGTCTTGTCTCTGACCAGGTAAAAGAGGAGGTTCTTTAAACGTCTTACATGTGCAGATAGTAATGCTTAAAACTCGACGTTGGTGAGCAATAAGTAAGTATAAGGGACTTGTCGATGACGTGACGTCGTCAAAGAAATTAAAATGAAATATTTCTAAATCAAAGAAAAAAAATGTCCCTTATACAGGCGGATTTGGAGGGGGTGTCAGGGGGTTCTTAGGCCCTTCGGTTGCTGAAAAATATATCACACAAATATTCCCAAATTGAAATTAGAATTTTGACCAGCTAAATCATAGTTCTAAACCGTACCAAAGGGCACTGTTTGCTCTCCAAAACATCATTTTTTGTCGGGGTCGTTGAGCAGGCCCCAAACCCCACATCAAGGGGGTGATGGTCGGCTTCGCATCCGAGGCCTGTCGGTCCGGACCCCCCTTCAAATAATCCTGGGTCAGCCCCTGCTTATATACATCTATCAACACCCATGCGTATCCTCATTTAACATGCTTTCAATAACCTATGGCAGTAGCAAACTTTTCTTGATATAAGATTAAAACAAAAGTACCGATCAAATTATAAGAATTGTGCTTTAAAATATACTAATTCCAAAATTCATTTAAGAACTTGTCTGGCTTTAACTGCGTGTTTACAGGTCAAATTAGATGTTAATCAACGTAAAAAAAAAAATGGAACAAGGCAGCAAAACTTTTAAAGGTACAGACACAATGTCATTAAAACTTGACCTGTATTTTAGTGCAATAAATCACCCCAGTAAGTATGCAGATAAGAATTCTCACGGTTTTCCATAAATGGCGTTCACAGTGAATTGTGCACAGTGACGGTGCAGACGACGACAGACACGGGTGATAGTGATATATACATACACACTGTGTCTGTACATAAAAATCATATCACCAATTATCGCTTACCCGCAGCAGGACATATACCTCTGGCTACAAGTGCAACGAAAACAGTCATCTGTTTCTTTGGTGGTGTTGACTTCTATCCTGATTCCTTTGTGTTCGCAATAGGTCACTACATCCAGTTTTCCGTCATCGGTTTCTGGAAAAGCATGATCATGTTCGACACCATGGTAATCATATTGTTCTCGTTTTTCTTTTTTCCTTTTAACGTTTGTTATCACCATCATAACTATTGGTTGAGATGGCTTAAGCCACCGTGAATTTTTGAGACACTGGAAACTCACTTCTCTACTACTTGTACAATCAGCATGTTTTTGCCGTTTCCAGTAACACACTGATCAGGCCTACCCAACTACCAGACTCGGCACCGAATGATCCTGAATTCACCGGTAGATCGGACCACACTACCCGTTTTCAAGGTGTGTATCAGTACGCATTTCACAGTATCAGACACGACACGCTCTTGCCTAGTACGCGATGTGATAGTGACGATTCTCAGCGGGGTTGAAAAGTATTGCATCACCACTCAAAATTTGTTCGGGGTATGATAGTGTGAAATGCGTACTGACTCACACCTTGAAAACGGGTAGTGTGGTCCGATCTAACGGTGAATTCGTGATCATTCGGTGACGAGTCTGGTAGTTGGGTAGGCCTGCTGATGTTCAGCGGTGATTAGGAACTCACCTCTTTACCACCAATATATGCCACTGGCGTGTACAGTATGATAGCTGAGAAGTGAGTCTTCAGTATCCTCTGATGCTCTAGGTGGCTTTCAGTAAACCAAATATATATGTGTGTGTGTGTGTGTGTGTGTGTGTGTGTGGTTCAAATTTTATGACACTGGTTTTTTGAGTCTTCATTTTACCTCAGTATAATCAAATTATCAATAACTTGCAAACCCTTCAAGCCTGATCTGCCCCTTCAGAAGTTAAAATTATATTATTTACTGATATATACCGACGCAGAAACACCTAAAACTTTTTTTGGCCTTATATTACCATCTAGATTGACCTAGTCATGGATTTCATTCGAACATGTATTTTGAAGATAAAATGTATCCGACGTTAATATATGTATGCCCACAGAGAATACCTCATTCTTAGTACCTTTGACCTCTTGCTTCGACATGCCTGCCACGCAATATCCCTGAGCGCCATAGCACGTCAATATCGCCAAAATTGTTCCCGCCAGTAAACAAAACGTGGAGTTCATGTTGACTTTCGCTGCGCAGTTAATCAAGCAGTAAGAAAAGAATTGAAGTCGTTCCGTCGAGACGTCTGTGGTTCACTGTCACGTGGTGTTATGTATGGCACGATGGTGCTTTGATGTACGCCACAGGTGCTTTGTCCGTCACGATTATCTGCTTGTTTACACCTGTGTTTTCTCAAGGTATGAGAGAGAGAGAGAGAGAGAGAGAGAGAAGGAGGGGGTAGTTTTGTTTTCCAAGCAAAATGTATGATATTGTAATAAGATAGACACAGGTTTCACGTTATAAAGTATAAAAGTAACTTTATTTCCAGAATACGTTCATGTGACTATAAAGAGAATAATAAGTAATCTACTAAAGTCTTTTCTTTTACAAATGCTCCATTTCTAAGGATTCAAAACTTCAACGTGAATCGGTTTGGTAAAATCGACAGGGTCTCCTGTTTCGCAGTCCAAGTAATCGCCAGCTGACCCCTTTTTAACGTGGTAATAGTCACAGTTGAGATAGATAGTCGTGCAACCTGCAGGGGCGTCCGGGGCGGGCCGGCCCCAGCCCCTAGACCCTGGCTCACTGTACCCAAACCTTAAAAATAAAGTGCGACGCTAAGAATAACGCGTGTTTTCAGTCTCATTGTACACGTATAGTATATTGCCCTTGTACTTCAATGCTCAAGACAAATGGCTCTTCGTTGTTAAGAGCATATGCCTACTCGCCATAAAAATGAGGCAAACAGATGGATTTTAGAAAAAATTTCCTTTAGCCTACAATCTAAAAAAAAAAACAAGTGGAAGAAAACTCTGTTTTCAACTTGCAGTTCTCTATGACTACTAAATTTTGACCCATTATTGCCCTCTTCTGGGACTTACCCACAGCAGCCTTGGGTATAACTTGCAAAGTTTTCCCCGCACTCGCACTTCTTACAGTCTTGTGTGTACCAGACGCTGTTTCGGCGCATTAACATCCCATTCTCTCTGCAGAAAGTTTCAGGGAGACCATTGCGTCCTATAGACAAAAATGGTACAGAAATCTCCAGTTGAAAAAAAAAAACGTTTCAATTTTCAGTGGAAAAAGTTCAGATAATAGAATGTCCTAAAAAGTCGCGAAACAAAAAAGTGAGAAAATACTTCAAATAGTACGAATATTTATGTTATTGTGCCCTCACTTTTTTAACGGTTTAACAGTTAACACACGAATTGAATTGTTCTGGGCTGCAAGGTTGAACCGAACCGTTAATTACGACTTGAGGAGGGCTATTTGTCTTAAAGTGGTTTCCCTAATATTAAAAGGCAGGTACAATGTTCTGCGTTGTTTTTCCCCATAATTTTCGTGCTTTTCAAAAGAGGAAAAAACGGTTCCATTCGCTTCCATTTTGAGAAATATAAAAAAATTCTTACTATTGTTGATATCTCCGGGTGAGGTAGCCTCGCACATGTAACCGGGGAAATATCTCCTACGACCATGCACAACACAACAGAGGGCAGAGAAAAGGAAAATAAAACTGACCGACTTAACAGACATCTTGGTGTGGATCAGTCGTTGGCTGCAAGAACTGCACGGGCGGGTTTTCTGAACAGCACCTATATACGCCAGAATGGCGGGTCAACCGGACGAAATTAAACACGATCTACCATAATTACCGTTACAGCTTATTGCCGTTCCACAGTTTACAAAACGGAAATTACAAAAGTTGTCTGACCTGTTGAGTAGTCATGCCCTAAATTAAAGGGATAACAACTCAGCTCATATAAATATAATATATCCTATTTTACCACAAAAACGGCAGTTATAGTTTTATTCTGAAATCTGTGCTTGTCATCGGACATCGGATGGCTATTCTCTGTAACAAAAAACAATCTTTTCAGAAAATAAAACAAGGACTAACTTTGAATGTAGAACTGGATTCATTAACCATTGGTGGGAAAGTTGTCGTTTACCACAGATAATTTCATTTTTTGGCCAAAATGAAGATGTTATCCTTTTAATATCTCACTGATTATTTCCAGTGAACTTACTTTTGTGGAAATTGTTTGATATATATATATATATATATATATATATATATATATATATATATATATATATATATATATATATATATATATATATATATATATATAAGAATATTTTTTGAATATATAAGGAGGAAGATAAATTACAAGAAAGATATAATACCTAGATGTTTTATTCGATACAATGTACTATTTTAAACATCATTCTGTGTCGAATATTAAATCAAAAATGAATAATGAATTCGAATTGCCTGAATTTTAATGACACTATGAAAATATGAAAAATAAGTCAATGACTTTTCACTGTGCATACCTCATTAAGTCCTGAAATAGTGCAAAGTAGCCCAAAAAGGCCATTTTCATCCAATACAGTTCAGCTTAGCATATTAAAACCCTTTAAATCATCATCCAGTGAATAGTAATTAGGAATCCTAACTGTGTACCTACTACTAACTTGAAGTACGCTTGCGCTTTGCTAAGGATGTCACCAGCAGTACAGGGAGACTCCAGGAGTAGCTTCCTTTTTTACGGGGGGGGGGGGGGGGTTACAAGAACCGAACCAGTGTTGAGGTTTGCCAATCAAAGTAATCAAAAAATTATAATCTCTGTAACGCTTCAATGCTCCAATGAAAATTCAGTTCTCATTTGTTTTAAGGAGAATAAAAACAAATAACAAAATTAATATTCCGTGACATATAATTTTCCGGGTAAGGAAAAACAAAGTAATTATTCTATGACGTAATTTTTTGTGTTAAATGTTGTTTACCAAGAGTCATTTAGTATAAACAGAAATGCACCCCTTGTTTGATTAATTGCTCCAGTAAATCAACAACTGCGATCGCACGTGTACTCTCTGGAAAACCAGTCTTGCTCTCAAGTGCAGACCTACTCAGGCATTGTTAGAGCTAGAAATGTCGATATTTCGTCACTAAAAGACGCCCAGTATAACAATCCTTGCTTTCGTCTTTAGTTTTCACCACGTTGTAGTCACAGTTTGGGGCCGGCACCACTTTACATTCAGCAGGCACATTGCGTGGGAGCGGACCCCGCGTGCTGGAAGATAATAAATAGATACACTTAAAATGTATTCGAATCTTTTCGTACTCCCTCATATAAACATATACGTATGCAACATCTGTACATGTGCTGACATGACATCTATTAATTAACAAGAGCATACGCATCCATGCGCACGCTACAACCCACTCGCACTCGCTCAACCGCGCTCGCATGTTACTGCAGACATTCACACGGACATAATGCAAAAACGTGGGTGCCTCCACAAGCGCAGGCGGATTAGTGCGTGCATGATATTTAAAAGAAAATTAACCCACCTACAACAGTACAACCCGTTTCTCTTGCACGTGCACATGGCGCACGCGTCGTGCTTCAGTCGTTTGGTTTCTCCGAGAAGGAACAGCGTCCTTGGTAACCTGCACGTGACTGAAAGGAACGTAGAAAAATAAAGGATGATAACTAAGGAATATCTCGGATTGAAATGCCAGTGCGTTGGGAAAAACGCGTTAATTTTTTGGCTAAAATTGTACTTATTTTGCTTTTTTCTTAAAATATTTCACATAAACGAAGTTTCGACACTGACATATCGGAGCAGATAAGAATATCAATGCTGTAACATGCAACAAGTTAAACAATTTGACATAGTTGAGGATGTAATGTTTATCTCACAGTATTTTAAACATTTTTAAAATACTGCACATATACGAATAGAGAAAACGTAACTGCTCTCAATACATCAGCTGTTTTAACTTTTGGAAAGTTGAGAAGCAGATATATGTTCATGGCGAACCTAAACAGACGTACCTGCGATCTTTCCTAGAGTGTTCCGGTTTTGTAACAAGAAGCAAAAACCATGAGTCCGTGAAAAGATACACAGAAAGATAGCCGCCCAGATGATAATGGTTAACTTTTGCATCGCTCTAAATGAATTTTGTTATTGAACGAAGTTTTGTCTGGAATGAACTCGTCCCAACAGATATTTCAGCGGATCGCAAGTTACCCGACTCTTTAAACCAGATCTTGGTCTGTTTCGATTTTATTCAAAACAAAATAAACATAAACACCACGAGAAAAGCAAATCTGTCAATTAATGTACAAATCACCTGTTGTTCAATTTAATTTATTCCAACCTCTAGTGCCCCAACCTAGGCTAGGACTCGCATCTTATATAAAAAATGACGCCAAATGGCCATTACTCCTAGCGTTAATAACGGTTACATTTGAAATATCAAACAATGGCCACGCGCGCCAGTTTGTGCCAAACGCAGACATCAAAGCCACTTTCACTGCCAAGCAGTTTACTGTTAATGCGTCATTCTCTCCAAAAACAAAGAAAAAACATAAATTTGAAATCTTACGTAAAATATCAATCTAATAAATCAAGACAAGCAACTCCCAGATATACGAACTTGGGATTGATTCCCCTTCAAGCGCACGTTTAAGTGGAAGGAGACGATGACTGGAGCGGACCACACGCACATTACGTACTGTTCATATGGATTGCATTGGTCAGTCATGGCTTGTATCCCCCCCATAAAACAATTCAGGTGTAACTCAATCTTGCAACACCGGCGTGACAGGAATAGCAGTCCACTAGGAGCCGAAGTCCGTTCCCATTTATTTTGTACAGGTGACATCCGCCCCACATGCTAACCCCAATCCTCAAACTAATCTGTAGTAATAATGGGGAAGGGGGCAGATGTCCATTCTTAGGACCACCATTCCTGTCACACTTATTCTTCACGCAACTTCGTACTTCACTACACGATCATGAATCACCAGCTGGGATTTATTTCTAACTTCACTATCTGAAAACATTTAAGCTACGCGAGCCCAAAAGTATTTGTCAAGTTAGTTACCAATAGAAGTGCGATTTTGGAATACTCATTTGAACTGTATACTTAAAAAATAAGCAAAAAAAGAAGGTAAAAGAAGATGCATTTATTGACACTCCGGTTTGGTTCAGACTTCTCTGAACAAGATCTTTCATACAACACGGCAAATATAAGACATTTCTCGTAGAACTATTAATGTGGTTTTAACAGGTACATCACTTCACTCCTAACAATCATTCTAAAAATCAATGCGTCTAGAAAAAGAACATTTTTAATTTGTTTTGGCCCATTGTTGTCCATGAGAAAGACCTCCGTACCAGTTTGAAAATAAATATCACTACACATTAAGTAAATGCAGAGGATTATCCGACAAGAGTTGTTTTAAAACCAGCCAAATTCTGATCCAACTTGCATTTCCTTTTATAAAACTTAATACCTGATGCCGTCCAGTCAGTAATTACATTATGTACACATGCCATATTCCAAGGCTCAAATTCAAGCCAGTATCTCTGTTGATTTTATTTCTAGCATCCAAATGATCTGTGTCTGACCAGTCCCAAAGAAAGGCTTTACCATGTCTCGGTTGTTTTGAAATTTGTAAAGCATATTTTCACCCCTAAATTATTTTGCCTAAGTTCACTGACGTTACTTCCCCTTTTTCCAGAAAATTTGCTGTGTGTACAGGGTGTGAAACTTGAAACGCTTGTAGTAAAAGGCTACAGGTGTCATCAGGAATAGGACTACCCCAGCCTAAATAGAAAAGAAATACAAGGTTTGATTACAATATTGCATGTTCAAAGATACATAAAAAGCATGAAAAAATGTTAGTACCAGTATTTCTTAAACAAAATCCACCTCTAAAAAAAAAATTATGTTAGTACCAGTATTTCTTAAACAAAATCCACCTCTAAAAAAAAACTTAAGCAGTTTTCATTTAACGTGTAAAACAGAGCATCCACAGAAGGTTTTCATTTAATTTGTATAATAATAATAATAATAATAATAATAAGATTCTTATATGGCGCC